TTTAGTTCAGCAATCTACGAATAAAATAATAGAAAAACATAAAAACAGAATATTTTAAATGATAGCGGATATATTTTAAATAACACAGGTATCAATTATTTAGATTTTTATAAGGGATAATAAGTATAAATTGACAATCAGTCGATGGTGCTATGAAAATTCTTAATAAAAGTTGACAATTTTTATTGTTTTAAACAGATTTTTAATGTAAATAACAAATAAAAACCGTATTCTTTTGAAAGATAAGTTGTTTTTCTGATAAAAACAATATTTAAAAAAAAAAGATTAATCATTTTTTGCATTTTTCCTAAAATCACGTTGCTTATTTGTGGTAAATCCTGAAGATATTAATACAGATCATACTTCTTAAAAAACAAAAGAGGTTATTATTAATCAGCTGCAAAGTTAAAATATTGAAAAAGAAAACGTTCAATGTGCAAACATAGACACAACAAACGCAATGTTTGCGACTGCTAATCTTTTAAGAATTACATGGTAGCTATCTGCTGCATATGTTCTTCAGCTACGCATCAAGAGTGCTTTGAATGTTCAACATCAGATTATCACCTTATTAATTCGGTACAAAAAATTGCAGGTTTTTTTAACAGTTCTTCTGTAGGTCTAAAATGTTTAAAGAAACATCAGCTTAAACAAGGACTTCGAGAATTCTGTCCACCACTTTATACTGTGACCAGGTTTAACAGTACATTTAAACTTCTGAATTAGAGAAACATGAACGGCAATATAATATGAGAAACATGTACGACAATAACAATGGCACTTAGGGAATTCACTTTAAGTGGTAGATGCGCAAAAGTTCCTCTTCAAGCTTTATCAGTTGCAATGAAAGATATTGAAAAAAAGTACATTTTATTTTTAAAACCAATATCGGTAGAAACAACGTTATTTGGTACTGAAAGCACTGACGTTATCACTGTCAGATTGGTTAAACCTTGCATTTATACTTTAAAAATTCAATTAGGTTCATTAAGTTGTAGCTTTAAGAGAAGGTTTAAAAAGGAGTTAATTTAGCATCTACGTGCACGTTTAAGTTCAGCAAATGTTACGTAACTTATCTCAGCATATTTAGAAGGTTTAAAACCGTAATGTACACTTAAAACAAGCTTTCAATTGTGAAAAACCATCTAATTGAAATGTCAGTTGATTTTAAGCTACGCGAAATCACTCTACGCGTAAATTTTATAAATAACAACAATATTGAAAACTTACCTAAAAATTTACTCGACGCTGTGTTTAATCAAGTTAAAGAAAAAGAATCTGAATAACGGGAAAATTCTACACAAAAACGCATTGAAGGTTGCATAATTACGGATATGTGTATCTACGTTTGTTCGCAAACCATAAACAATGATAATTGCCCTCAAGAATATTGGAAAAAAAAAATATTTTTCCTGTTTTTTCGCAGGCGGCTCAATCTGTAAAAGTAAGAGGTCGTTCTTTTGAAAGAGTCAATTCAATTGGTGGTCATGTAATAAATTATTCACGTCATTTATCAAAAAATGATGCTTTATTTCTTTTTTATTATCAACTTGAAGTGAAATGCCATGTAGTTATTGAGTGTCTTTAAATAACTTCAAGCCGTTGCAAGAAAGTAGAATGGGAGAATAGGATCGTTTATTGAAATATACACTATAAAATAAAAAAATGCCTAATTTAGATTTCCTTAAATCTAAATTATACCAACTTTTTGGAAACAATAACTCAGTTTCATTTTTTCTAGATTTAAACATCATAGCACTATTCAACAAATTATTAATTGCAGAATGTTTTTTTAAAGAATGCTTTTCCACTTGTTTTTTAAGAAATACAAAGTAGCCCTGTTGGAACAAAAATTATGTTGGGGGGGGGGGCAGAGCTTGTTTTTTTAGGTTATCTTATTTAGTATTGTACTCCTCTCTCCCCCACCCCTCGTCAGTGGTGGATTGGGACCCAGGGCCCCAATCCGCCACTGACAGGGGGTGGGGGAGAGAGAGGAGTACAATGCTACTGGAAAGATCAAATAGTAATAGGTCACAAATTTTTGTATTTGTTTACTTTTTTTTAAAAACTAACTTCAAAATGTTTTATAAATGTATATATATATATATATATATATATATATATATATATATATATATATATATATATATATATATATATATATATATATATATATATATATATATATATATATATATATATATATATTACATTTGCAGCGATTTTATTTACTGTGAACGTGATTGTATTATGAACGTATTTTTATTTACTGTGAACGTGATTGTATTATGAACGTATTTTTATTTACTGTGAACGTGATTGTATTATGGGTTGTCCACAAATTACGTCATGCTTTAGGAGGGAGGGGGGTAGGTTGTAGGCGATTTTGTGATGCGAGGGGGAAGAAGGGGTCTCGATTTTGTGACGCAACATTTTTATTTTTTTAATTTTAAATCTAGAGAAGACTTGTTTTAATTAAAACAGTATATGACCAAACTAAAACCCGCAGTTGACGTATCGGCATGTTAATTATAAAATTAAATACGCCTAAATCTTACTTAGTGGATCTGTACACTCTATTAACGGAGTAGTTACAGTCTTTAACGGACTGTTACAGAAATAAATGTGAAAGTAGAAAAACAACTAAAAAAAAGTACTCTTCAATTTTTATTTCCAACCAACTATCAACTTTAATACAATAATATAAGAAGATCAAATATAAAAAAAAAAATCAAATTATTCCTGTGAAAATTTAATAAAATTTGAAACTTTTGCTTTGGTGGTATCCATAAGCTTGTGCACAGAATAAGAATTGAAGTCATTTGATGCTTTTTTAAATGACATTTTTTTATCTTTAAAATTTCTACAAAATTTTTTTTTTTTTTTAATGACTCAGTACTTTACAGTTACTTTTATTCTGGACAGTTTGGAGGATTTTCTGTTTTAGGCATTTTACATTATTATTTTTATACCATTCCAAAGCTAGCTTACAATAATGAATTAAAACTAAATCTGACCAGAAAACAGGTCTCTTATCGTGTGATTTAATCAGAGGTAAAAGGTGTTTTTGTAAACATATATATGACCCGAAAGTTTGGACTGAGAAATATAAGGTGCAGATTTTTTGCCACAACTGCAAATAGCTTGCCAAATCAAGACTTTTTTAGCAAACTTGTCTTGTTTTATGTATTTAAATTTCTTATCTGCTTTTCCTCTACATTTAGCAATATAATAGACGACACCAGGTATTTGCTGATACTTGATATTAGTTTCATCGTCTTCAATAATACAGAAATTTTTAGAAATAATCATACAACTTTCTGCAGCGGGTTTTTGCAATTTTTTTTGTTGAGTTTCAGATAGGTTGGGCACTTTTTATGCTTTGAAAGAATGAAAACCTTATTTATTTCGAACTTTTACAACAAAACTATGAGAAAGTCCATAAATGTTTGCGCGCTCCCTTAGTGAAAGGCTTGGGTTAGTCTTAAAACTGTTAACCAGTTTTTTAACTTGTTTTTTATCTTGAAAACCCTTCTTTCTTCCACCACCAAATTTACGTTTGATCGATTTCGTTTGAGAAAAATGTTGGATTACACGACTAACGGTGTATGGATGTATTTGCAACGCTTTTGCTATCGAATTATAGCTACTATTGGGATTTTTCAAATATTTTTGAATAATTTTTTCTTTTATGTCTTCTTTTTTTTGTCATTTAAAACTAAGTTAAATAAAAAAAAATAATACATTTTTTTGAAACCACAACACGTTGTAAACAAAATACAAAACAATTAAAAAGATTTTAATATTAAGGTGAGTTTCCACTCATCCTTTTTTCTACGGGAACGGGATAGGAAAGGGAAAAATAATCACGTGAGCATGCGTAGTTTTGCTTCGGACAAATTAAAACTTATAATACGCATGCCCATGTGATTATGTTTCCTTTTCCTTTCCCGTTTCCGTGAAAAAACGGATGAGTGGAAATTCACCCTAACCACTGAAAAAAAAAAATGACGTACTTATTCTTTCACGTTTATTTCGTGTACACGCTATAACAAAAAAACAACCTTTGTGAACATACTAAAAAAGAAAAATTTCTTTACCGGAAGGCGAACCCGAAGCCTTGGTTTAGTTGCCTGAAGCGTAATCTACTCAGCCACGCTAACGTTGCAAGTCGAAAGAAAATTGTATTTATAAAACAATATTTTTGCATATATAATATTTTGTGACTTATTATGTATTATATATTATATGTATAATATTTTGCATTTATTGTATATCGAAAAAATAACTGTTTAGGATTGTGATTTTAATTTTCACAATTTTACACGGAACTATTAGGGTGAAAACAAAAACATTAAACAGACTGAAAAGTACTAATTAATTAACTCAAAAAAGCTCAGAAATTATAGACATTATTATATTAAAAATCGTTATGTATTTTGTAAAATTTTGTACACCAGCCCTTCCCTCCCTCTTAAGTGTTATTTAGATTTCTTTAACTGTAGATCAGGTTCAACCATAAGAATTAAGTGTTATTTAGGTTTCTTTCACAATAAATTTTAAATTTTTTTTTAGGAGGGGGGTACAAAATTGTTACGTAGTTACGTATTTTTTTTTTTTAGGGGGGGGGGGGTCAATTAAGTGTTACAATGCGTTACGAGGGTGAAGGGGTCAAAAAATGTCAAAAACCGCGTGACGTAGTTTATGGACAACCCCTTAATCGCACGCGCTTGGTACCCTACTGAATTCAAGTTTTAGTGGACACAAAACGTATAAAAAACGTTTCTTAAACGTCTTATATACGTCTTGTAACAACAAGTATTTTTTTATTATTTTCAAGTGTGTGGTGTTATTCTTTTACACCTCGCCGATTGCACCGATTAGCACTTTTAAAATTAGCTTGCAAAATCATAAACAAAACATTATGATCTTGCGAGTATCAAATTCCACTTTCAGTTTCAACATTAATTTTTCCTACACATTTTATTTTATGTTTATGTTACACAGATTTACACAGATAAATTTGGTGTCTTACGCATAAGATGCATGGAATAGATGCTAAAACTTTTAATGTTTCACTTAAGTTTTTGAAAGAGTTTAAAGTTTTTTCAGATTAACGTAGTTGTTAAGTCTGTATTATAAATTTATAATTTGTTTATAAATTTATATTTATTGAATGCGAACAATTGACCCTCTATCTAACAAGCACAATTTTTTCAAATATAGTCCTAATATCTGTACAGTGTGACAAAAGAATGAATTCTAATAAGAATAAAATTTTGGTATGCAAAATATCGATATAAAATTTATATATCATATATTTGAAATATTAAAGCAATAGTTTTTATGAGTTTTAGTTTTAAAAACAGTTACTTTTTATTAGGAAGATACTTCAGTAAAATGTTTGACTAAAGATTGTGATTTTTATGGACGTCCTGAAAGCAATAATTATTGCTCAGCTTGCTTCAAAAGTTTATCAAAAGGTATTAATTGAGTTTACAATTATATTTATTGTAATATTTAATAAAAACTTACTATAAATATATTATATATATATGGAGTATATTTAGTAAAAAAGCAGCATAAATGATAATTTAGTTAAAATCCAATATTTCAAATTCAAATTGTTGCTTTGTTTTACAGAAGATATTATGGTTTAAAATGCAGAGCATCATATTGATTTAGGGATAACATGTAAGGAACTGCTGCTACATCAACTGGTCAAGTCAGGTCAGGTCAGGTTTTCCTGCTACTGGTAACATGTAACCCAGTACAACCTGCTCCATGTCCTGCTGCCTTGTAGGATACGCTTTTTTAGGCAAAGGCTAGGAGAAGTTAACTCCGAATTAAAACACCCCCTGCCTTGGGGCTCTTGGTTGAGTAAAGGCTAGAGATGGTGTCTCGATAAAAATACTCATCTTGGGCAGATGTTACATGCATCCAGCTGCTGTCTTGTAGAAGGCCTCCTAGGCAAAGACTTAAGGGGTAAACAGATTCTATCTGTTGACCAGCCTCGCACCCCTTCCTCACCTATTAGGCTGGCGCAGATGTATTTTTAATACATTGTTTCCAGTTTAGGATGTTGAACGCTGGATCTTCTTGACTCAATGCGTGGGTATTGCTTGTGTCTCTATTTTTATGACTGGGCAACTCATTCTATTATCTCCTAATGAGGGTACAGCTCTAAAACTCAGTTTTATGGTTCTGAGGCCAGCTGGTAGTCAGGTTTCCCGAACTCTGTGGTAGCTCTCAGAGAGGCTGATTCCATCAACAGCCGAAAAATATCAGAGTACTAACAGTGCCATGTTGCGCATGGATGGTGTCCCTGTTTGTACTTTTGGTGTGCATTGCAGAGGCCACATTTGGAGCCCTTTGCTACGGCTTAAGGTTTATTAATAGTAATGAGGCTATTGCTTAGTTGTTAAATAGTGTACTGAGTAGTATCTATACTTGAGTCAAGTTCTTTATTAATTTAAAATGACTAAAGTACCTAAAACTAATAAACACAAAAAACCATCGTCATCACCAAGTTCTCTAAACCTATCATTTACTAATATTCGTGGTCTTCGAAGTAACTTTTCTTCTGTTGAGTCTTATCTCTTGCAAAGTTCACCAGACCTACTTGCTCTTTGTGAGACTAATTTGAGTTCGGCTGTCCCATCTTGTGATCTTAGTGTTGATGGTTATCTTCCTTTAATTCGTAAAGACTCCAATAATCACATGCTTGGCCTGGGCATCTACATTCGTAAGAACTCACCCATTTGTCGTGAAACTAGGTTTGAATGTCCAGACTATTCATTTATGTGCTTTCGTTTAGCACAACTTCACTCTATGGCCTTTCTCTTTGTTCTATATCGCTCTCCTTCATCCCAAGATTGCACTATTCTTGATGTTATTTCTGATCAAATTGACCAAGCCCTCTCTCTTTATCCATCGGCCAATATCGTCGTTGTTGGTGACTTTAATGCCCATCACACCGATTGGCTTGGCTCTAGTGTCAGTGACTCTGCTGGCGTTAAGGCCCTCAACTTTTGCCTTTTTCAATCTCTAACTCAAATAGTCAACTTTCCAACTCGTTTTCCAGACAACTCTAATTATTTACCTTCTCTACTCGACTTATGTCTTGTTTTGGATCCTAGTCAGTGCTCAATTTCTCCACATTCACCCTTAGGTACTTCTGATCACGGTTTGATCTCTCTAAAACTATTATCAAATTCTTCTACTTCATCAGAATCCCCCTATCATCGTACCACATACAACTACCTTAAAGCTGACTGGGACTTTTTCCGTGATTTTCTTCGTGATGGCCCTTGGGTAGAAATCTTTCGTCTTCCTGCTGACAAATGTGCTTCTTACATAACTTCGTGGATTCAGGCTGGCATGGAATCTTTTATTCCCTCTCGACGATTCCAGGTCAAGCCTCACTCTTCTCCTTGGTTTTCCTCACATTGCGCTGCAGCAATTTCTAATCGAAACCGTTACTTCCATATCTATCAGCAAAACAATTCTCCAGAAAACAGACATCTGTTCACTATCGCTAGAAACCATTGTAAAAAGGTTTTGTCTGACGCCAAAGCTCGCTATTCCCAGGTCATTAAATCTCGTATCTCATCACAAAAATTAGGCTCTCGAGACTTCTGGAGAATCTTTAACAGTATCAATAATAAGGGCAAATCTGTTATTCCTTCTCTCTTGTATGGTTCAGACTTTGTCACCTCACCTAAAGACAAAGCTGAATTGTTTGCAATGAACTTTTCATCAATATCATCTCTTGATTCCACTAGTTGCGTTTTACCTGACATAGCCGTCAAACAGGTTGATTCCTTGCTTGACATTCGCATCACTTCAGCTTCTGTATCTAAAGTAATTTCCTGCTTAGACTCTTCAACAGCTTGTGGTCCTGACAACATTCCTTTTGTAGTCTTGCAGAGGTGTTCTCCGGAGCTTTCATCCATACTTTCAAAACTATTTAACAAGTGCTTATCAGAGTCTTGTTTTCCATCATGCTGGAAAGCAGCATCTGTTATCCCTATTTTCAAAAATTCCGGAGAGCGATCTGATTCATCTAAGTACCGCCCCATTAGTCTTCTTCCTGTCATAAGCAAAGTTTTTGAATCTTTAATCAACAAACACTTAATCTCTCATCTTGAATCAAATAACTTACTTTCTGATCATCAATATGGATTTCGGTCTTCTCGTTCTACAGCTGATGTGCTAACAGTAATAACCGATAGGTTTTACCGTGCATTAGATAGAGGTGGAGAGGTTAAGGCTATCGCATTTGACATTTCTAAAGCTTTTGATAAAGTTTGGCATGCTGGTCTTCTCCATAAGCTTTCTTCTTATGGTGTAGCTGGTAACGTCTTTAAGATTATTGAGTCCTTTCTTTCCAATCGTAGTATAAAAGTTGTCCTTGATGGACAACACTCTTCTTCACATCCTGTAACTTCAGGGGTTCCTCAAGGTTCAATCCTTGGCCCTATACTCTTTTTAATTTACATTAACGATCTTCCAGATATTCTCACATCTAAGGTGGCATTATTCGCTGACGACACTACCATTTACTCTTGTCATGATAAGAAGCCTACACTCTCTGATTGCTTGGAGGGGGTATCTGAGCTTGAAAAGGATCTCACTTCTGCTACAGCATGGGGCTCACAGTGGCTGGTGAACTTTAATTCAGATAAAACTCAATTTTATTCGGCCAATCGTTATCGTAATAATTTAGATCTTCCTATATTTATGAATGGTAATGTACTAGATGAGTCATCTACCATTCATCTTCTAGGATTAACTCTTACTTCTGATCTTTCTTTTAAACCGTATATCAAATCCATTGCAAAATTAGCATCTGCTAAGGTTGCATCTCTTTATCGAGCTCGACACTTTCTTACTCCAGATTCTATTCTCTATCTCTATAAATCTCAAATCCATCCCTGTATGGAATACTGTTGCCACATCTGGGGCGGATCTTCTAATGATGCTCTTTCTCTTTTAGACAAGGTGCAAAAACGAATTGTAAACATATTTGGACCTGCTCTGGCAGCCAATCTCCAACCTTTGTCACATCGTCGTAATGTTGCTTCTCTTTCTCTTTTCTACAAATACTATAATGGGCACTGCTCTAAAGAGCTAGCGTCCCTTGTGCCATCTACTAAAATTCATTCTCGTGTTACTCGCCATTCAATTAAGTCTCATCCTTTTTCTGTGACTGTTCCTAAGTGCTTCAAAAACTCTTATTCTTCTAGTTTTTTTCCTCGAACATCAGTTCTTTGGAATTCGCTTCCTTCATCTTGCTTTCCTGATTCATATAATTTGCAATCTTTTAAGTCATCAGTCAATCGTTATCTTGCTCTACAGTTTTAGTCTTTTCTCTTCCAGTAACTTCCAACTCTTATAGTGGTTGCTTGCAGCCTTGTTGGAAGTGAAGATGTTAAAAAAAAAAAAAAAAAAAAAAAAACTAATTTCGGGAGAGCGTGCAAGGGAATGCTGCTACATCAAATGAAAGTTTGTTTTGGTTCAGATATAAATCACTTTAAGTAGCAGCATTCTCTTACATTTCTCCCTAATTATGACATTTTAACATGGTTTTTAACATGGTTTACTTGTTTATTCATATCGGGTTTTTCTTATTCTATATGAATGCTTTCTTTAATTTTTAATTCAATTTTGTTTTTAGCACAATCCAAAATCAAAAAGCATTCATCATTATAATTTTTAAAACATTTTTCTTTTGAGTAAAGATGTTTATTAATAAGAGAGTTTATATCCCTTCTGTAGTGTTCGATCACTTGCGTCTTTAGGTAGCGAGAGGTTTCACCAATTTGTAGACGAATGATTTAAAATCTACGGGAAGACACTTTTAATGAAGTGAATATTAACTTTACGGTAACCAACTTACAATGTCTCTTTATAATTGCATATAATCTTTGTTTCGTAAGATTTTTTCTATTAGTGAAGATGGGTACATATTACATTTGAGAATTTTGAAAAGATTTTTAATATCATAGTGGAGACCAAGAGTAGTGTTGTTATTTTTAAAAGTTCTATCAATTAAACATTTTATAAGACTTATTTTATATGAAAACTTAGTAAAGCTGTAAAAGTTGGTGTATAATCCAATAAAGGTTTTTTTATGAAAAACTGTTGTAATTGTTGAACTGCTCAACTTACATAGAGTTATGTCTAATAAAGATGTTGTTAAGTTTTCTTCCTTTTCCATGGTAAAAGATATTGAAGAATGTTTTTTGTTTGTGTAATCCAAGAATAAAATTGCGTGGTTTTCTGAGGGGAAAGCAGCAAAAATGTCATCTACATAATGTTTGAAAGCCATTTTTCTTCATAAAAAACCCATAAACAGATTAGCAAGTACAGGTGTTAATGGAGAATCCATAGCAACTCCATCAATTTGGTCATAAACCTGTCCTTTAAAGTGAAAATGCATTTGTGCTGTTGCAAAAAGAAAGAGTTTTTTTAGATTACT